AGGAGGCACACTGGACAAATGTAACAGATTAAAAGGCAGAAAAGCATGGGGCTGCCTAGGGAAAAGGGATGTTACCTGAAAAGTAGGCTATAGGAGAGGATTCAAGTGGGAGATGAGCTCAGCTGGGCAGGTGGGGAGTTGGGACACACTGGTCAAACCAGGGGGCCTTGAATGATAAAATACCAATTGGCAGGTAATGAGCAGCTTGTGGAGGCTCCCCAAATGAAAGTGAAGATTAAAGCATGCTTTGGAAACCTGCACTTGGCAGTAGAAAGGACAAGGATAAACTGGGGAAGGGGCACTACAGAGCCCCAGCTTAATTCACAACAGTAGCTAACATTACTGTGTGCTGACCTGTATCAACCCTGCTGAACTTGCACCATCTCATTTAATCCTCACAACAATGCCCTGAGGTACTCTCACCATCCCATTCTACAGATAAGGGAACCAAGGTGAAGAGAGGTTAGGGAAGTGTGCCCCAGATCATAAATCAGAGATCTGCCTCTAGAGATGAGCTCTACAGCGGTCCCAGCTGGTGCAACTCCAGTGCCAGCACAGCTGACCACTAGCCCAGTCTGAGTCCTGGGTGGGGCCTGAGCCCTGGGCACTGCACTCTGATTTCTGAGTTGAGCTGAGAAGTAGGGGGAATGGAGAGGAGGAGAATGAGACAAGGGACACTGCAGAGATGAGTAGCTCTGTAACCTACTGAATGAGGTGAAGAACTGCCCGGGAAAAGTCTGAATTAAGGTTCCTCAGGGTTGTTGCACTTGAAGCCAGCAAAACCCTCAGATGTGCTCATGAGCTTACACCAACTCCTGCTGGAAATGATCCTCCACATAAGCCAGCTGCTTCCAGAAATAGTGGACTTAGCTTTCCACAACTGGAGCCTACCTGATAAGCAAACTGTACACCCCAAGTTTGCCAGGAACAGGGAGACGGTGACTGTGTAATGGATTTAATTGTTTTTCTCAAAGATCTTATGTTGAAGTCAGAACCCTCAGTAACTCAGAGTGTGAACTTACTTGGAAATTGGGTTGTTGCAGATATAATTAGTTAAGATGAGCACGGTGGGCCCCTAAGCCACTCTGACTGGCGTCCTTATTAAAGGGGAAATTTGGATACAGACAGACATACAGAGAGAATGCCATATGAAGATGAAGGCAGAGACAGGGGTAAGGTAGTGGAAACTGAGGGTCACCAAAGATTGCCAGCAAACTGCCAGAAGCTAGGAGAGAGGCCTGGAACAGATTCCTCTGCATAGCCCTCAGAAAAAAACCAACCTTGCTGACACCCTGATCTCCAACTTTTTGCCTCCAGAACTAAGACAACAGATTTCTGTTATTTAAGCCACCCAGTTTGTGGTACTTTGTCACAGTAGCCCTAGGACACCAACATGGTGACCTATGCCATCCTTTCCCATAAGAAGGTCATGGGTGCATCTTTAGCATGTCATTTAGTAAGCAAAATGACGAGGCGACTGCAAAACATTGTTGTACTGCAATGTACGTAATTATAAGACTATTTCTGTATCACAGTTGTGAAAAAAAACAGCAAGTACTTGAAATTTCATCTCTCCAACTGCCCAGGCATGATGGACTATTTCTGCTTTTGAAAGAAAAAACAATTACCTTAACAATCAAGGACCGTCCTTCTCTTCCCTTTACTCTTAGAAGCAGCTAGTGATTGTATTGGATTCTTCCTGTGACCTAAGAAACCCAGTCCAATGAGCAGCACATCAAGAGGTCCTGCTGGACCCATTACCCTGCAGAGGGTTCCTGTCCCAGGACATGAAATGACTTTAATATGACCACAAGCCCCCTCAGTTTCAAAGTGGCAACAGCTCTCTGAAATACAGATTCTGGCTGTAAGCAGTCGCCCATCTTCAAATACAGTTACACGGTCAAATTTGTGAAAACTTTTCACTGCTTTGACTGACCTGTATGTTATTCTGAAGAACACGTGCTTAATCAGTGGGGAGTGAATGGTGGTGGTCAGGAAGGGAAGCATGTCCGCCTTGGGGAATTCCGGAGTCTTGTTTTCAGATGCCAATGAACCCCCACTAAGAAGCGAAACCAAAGCAGCACTTCTGATACCTGGAAAATCCCCTACTCCGAAATATTTTTGTACATGCACAAAAATTGTGGAAAATTATACTGTAAAACCAGACTTTCGTAAAAACAGCTAATCATCACCAGAATAAACACAACCAGGTTGGCCAAGCAGCTGCCATAGTCCAGCAGGTCCACACATGCCAGCAGGGGAAGGAAAGGCCAGGAGCACAGTGGCCCCAAGTAAACTTCTCCTAGGAAAGCCAAGTCAATTCAAATGTAAACCATCACAATTATCTATTTAAAAACAAAACAACACTGACCAGTGATGTTCCAAGGAAGTAAAGCACCCTTACCCCTGAAGTTAACAGTAGCTAACATTTATTAAGCTTAACATTTTTGAAGCACTTAAGATGTGACAGGCACAGTTCTAAGCCTGTTCCATGGAATGAATTGTGTAATTGTTACAACAACCCTATGGCATCTGTATTATTCCCATTGTGCTGGTGAAGAAAATGAAGAAGCACAGATAGGTTAAGACATTTTTCCAAGGTCACAGAGCTCTAAGTGGTAGAGCTGGGATTCAAAACCAAACAGTCTGGCTCCAAAACACCCCACACCCTCAACAAGCAAGCACCCAAGCCAGACGGACAAGACACAAAGAAATAAAGTGAGTGGGGATAGGTTAAGGAGGTTGGGTTGAGGACGGAGGCAAAGAAGAGAACAATTACAGGCACTGGGCTGGCCTGTCGCACATGCTTTTCTCATTTAATTGGCACAACACCGCTAAGGTAAGCATTACTCTCCCACTTGACAGATGAGACACTGCGACTTGGAATGATTAAAGCTTTATAAGGGCACATTAATAAGTGATGCCCCCAAACCCAGGTTTGCTGATTGCAAAACCAGTGCTGTTTTCTCAGCCCATTTTCTCCCAGAGTCATGGTTGCAAATTGTAATCCCCATTATGGATTGTACAGTCTGCTTTTAAAAGTCAATCCAGCACTGGAAAGCAGTAGTCCCAGGCAGGAGTGGGGGCATCACCCTCTTCTAGTGCAGGCTTGTCCAGAGAACCTGAATACAGTGCAGGCGCTTAATTAATGTGGCAGTATAGGAGTCAGGAAGCCTACGTTACAGCCCCACTTCCAGCACTAGTTAACTGTGTCGCTTTAGACAAGTCCCCTAACTTTGCTGAGCCCCTATTTTCCTTAAGTACAATCTAGATTTGAATACCTAGCCTGTGTAAGGTTGATGTAAAAAGGGATTACCAATAAAGGTGAATTGACTGTGAAAACTGAGAGGTGCCTAACAGCTAATCATCACCAGAATAAACACAACCAGGTTGGCCAAGCAGCTGCCATAGTCCAGCAGGTCCACACATGCCAGCAGGGGGAAGGAAAGGCCAGGAGCATGGTGGCCCCAAGCTCAATGCCTTCAATGAAATCTGGCTGAGCCTAGGCCTCCAAAACTTCCCCCAAAGCAGGTGTGCTGGTCTAAATAGGTATTACTGGCAGGTATCACACTGGGAAGGCGAAGGAAATCCTGGCCGAGCTAAAAGCCTCACCTCCCTCCAGGTCCCCCTAGGCTTTACAGGCCTTCGGCATCCCGCTGTGAGGGGGAGCGGGGTGCCATTTGGTACAGCAAACAGCACTGGGCTTTTCCCCCGCACGTTACAGAATTGGGACATGCAGCAGTGCTGCACACGCCACTTCGGGAAAAGGATTCAGAAGAGGCTCGGGATGGGATGAAATGAGTGGGAAAAACTTCATACCGTTTGGGACTGGGCCCACCAAGACTCCCACTAACTCCCACCCCATTAGTTCTGGCTCCAGGAAGAGGAAGGGATCAGATCTGCATAACAGTGAATCACAAGCTCCTTGGCACAATGACCCCTCAGGAGAGGGTGGAGAAGCTCGTCTGGCAACTGCCTACACACAAACAGGGCAATTCTGAAGAGCAGCAACCAAACCTGTCTAGCCCCAATTCCCATTTTGCATAAGATCGCACTCCACAAAAACAGGCTTCCAAGAAGCCCTGGCTGATAATACCGACAGTTAACACTAAGGTTTGTGCCAACAGAGAATTAGAAAGGTCCCTTTGAAGGAACTTTGGATACAGTGATTTTGTGGAAATTGGTATGAAGTGTTCTTGATCTTCAACAGGCCATTAGGAGCCCCAGGTATTTCAATCAACCGATCTTGGTGAACTTCGTCTCAAAAGGAAACCACCAAAGAATTTGAACCCATAAACCAAAGGGACCTTGTTAAGTCACTAGGTGAATGTCTGGGTACCTGTTTTCGTTATACTAATAAGGGGTTACAAAAGTTTCAGAAGGGAGTCGGATTGTTAGGAGCGGGGAATGGTTAGGTCACTGCGGGACTGTCGGCCAGCTGGCCTCGGCCTGGGCATACACCACGGCTCCTTAACCCACGGAAACAGCAAAAGCGAGCTGCAGTTGGGTTACAGTCTGGGCAGGGGCCCATCACGTGAGGCCGGGAGCGTGGTTATAAGGAATTTCTCCCGGAGGCCACGGCCTCCTTTAGATCCTCCCGATTCTCCGGGTCGGGAATGGGTTCCCGAAAGACATCTCAGCGTACACGAGGCACTGAACGACAACAGAGGGCAAGGAAATCACCAAGTTCCCTTCTCCCCTCCTCACTTCCAAATTACCCTTGATAGCCAGCAAACACAGGAAAGGTGTCTTCTACAACCAACGATGATACAACCAACGGGGACACGCCCACTTCTTTCTCAAAAACCTGAAAGCCACAGAGACAGCACTAACATCCTTCGTTGGGATTCACAAGGAGGCTCAGTGTCGTCTGCGATCCTACAACCCCCCGGTAGCTGAGGGTGGAAGGCGAGAGCAGATGGCACCTCCTTTCCCTGGATCTGTCACTACCGTCCCAGGCCCTGGCCAGCACCGTGCTCGCGTCCCTGCTCTCACGTTACCTCATTCGTGCGTCCACCGGCGTCGGGCACTTCAGCCGTCGGTTCCGCTGGTGCCTTCTCCTCCTCCCCGGAGGCCAAGGGGCTACTCGGAGCCGCTCGGGGGTCCCCGCCTCCCCCTGGAGCCACCGGGCCGCCGCCGCCCACTTCTGCGGAGGAGGCTGCTGCGGAGCCGAGCAGCCCGTGAGCCCCGTCGGCGTCCCCGGCCGCCACACAGTGCACCAGCCACGCATCTACTCGGGTGCGCGGGACGAAGGGGACCCCCAGCGCGCGCACCTCCCGCAGCAGCTGACCCACGGAGTCCGGCTCCGGGCCTTTGAGGTGCAGCTGGTCCAAGGGCCCCCACCCTCCCAAGGCGGGGAAGGGGCTGAGCGCGCAGGCGGAGGTCGTCGGGCCGCACCCGAGCAGCAGCTCATCCCGAAGCAGGGTGGGCGGCGGGAGCAGTAGGTAGAGGTCCAGGTCCAGGCGGAGCCCCGCCAAGCTCAATAGGATAGTGAAGTGCAGGAGGCCGCCGCCGTCCGACCACCACGGCTTCAGGTACTTCATGTCCGGCCGAGCCCGGGGACGCCCCGCCGGCGCCCGCGGGTTTCAGAGTTCCAGCCGCCGCTAGGCACGTGCGGGCCCCGCGCGCCGCTGCGGACACCTGCCCGGAAGAGCCAGAGAAGCGAAACAATGGACCTGGGCGCGCAGCGGCCGTCGCGGACTCCCGGAGCAGGGCACAAAGGCGTTCCCCCGGCAATGGGCACGGTGCCTGGGGCCCAGGAGAAGCGGAGGAGGAGCCACCTGCGCGCCTGTCAGCTCCGCGGGCGCGCCCTGCGGCCGGGCCCCGCCCAGGGCCGCGGGCGCCACAGCCGAAGACACGCCCATGGCAGCCCCGGGCCTGCGCCCGTGGGAGGGGCCCGCACGGGGCGGAGCTCCCGGGGCTCCCCAGCGCAAAGCATTTTACTGGGGGCAACGCAAAGCTTTCTGTGAGCAGTAGTTGTTCTGGGCGCAAAGTGACCCCCACGCCGAGGCCGGCGGTCTGTCACTCGTAGTTGAACGCGTGGAGTAGGAGTAGAGATCGGGTAAAGGTGGGTGGGAAGGCATCGGATGTGTAGACTAGGGGAAAATCTGAGGCACTGAGCGGCGTGCAAAGGGCTTTTACCGGTGTGAGAGCCCTGGGCTGGCGCTGTGAGTTCAGGAGTCTAACCCTTGGGTTCAGATCTTAGACCCCTGATCTGCAAGGCCTGTGACCTTGAATAAGTTACTTAACTTCTTGGTGCCTCAGCCTCTTATCTGTAAAATGGGAATAATAGTACCTGCCCAATAAGGATGTGGTGAGGTCAGATGAACTATTAAAGCCCAGAGTTCGACATAAAGATTCCACAGCTGCCATTGGGATCAAACGCACTTCCACCAAATCCCAGTCGTGTCCTCCACCCTCCACCCCACCCCTCCCAGGCCCTGTGCTGCAGCCTCACTGTTCCTTGGGGATGCCCTGCACTGTGCTAGGTTTTCCCTCACGGTCTCTGCTTCTGAAATGAGAATTAAGAGCATAAGCCCTAGAGTTAAACCCTTTATGAGTTCAAACCTCCCCGCAACACTCCCCGTACTAATCTGGACCTTGGACAAACTGCTTACTCTCTCTGTGCCTCAGTTTCCTCACTGTAAAATGGGACTGATAATAGCACCTCCGCAGCAGATCTGGTGTAAGTCCCAAATAAGACGCATGTAAACCACCAACCACAGTACTTGGTAGGTAAGAAGCGCTCTTGAGTGTTACCTATTATTTGCAGTACCCATTCTCCAAGGCATAACTCCAAAGATACAACCTCTGAGTTTTCACCGTTTGGAATTTATCTCTTCCCCCATCTGTCTTCCACACTGCTTTCTCCGTAAGCCAACATTGCAACACTTGGCACGTTGGCGCTTTATATTACAATTGAGGATTGGTCTGATTTGCCCATTGTAAATTCTTGAGTGCAAAAAAACCTGTTTGACTCACCTTTGTGCCCACATTGTACTCAGCATTGGGCCTTGCAAATATAGGTTTTACTAACCTTCACTCCCTTCCTGAGTGGGAAAGAAGAAGGGGATACCCAACTGAGGGTTGGCAGTTGTGTAAGAAGTCAAACAAGACTTGTTTTTAAAGGCCCCTTCCTCCACCTGGTTTTCTCTCTCCTGGAGCTAGAGTGATAACTCTACACTAGGTTTCAGTTTTACCAGTGACAGCCAGGAGAGCAGAGGCAGATTTTGTAAAGTTGCTTCTGCTCTAAACCTTGGAGATAGGATTAGCCTGTGGTGAAGAGGCTGGCAGAGAGATGCTCGCCAGATTAGTGAGATTTGGGGTGGAAGCCCTGTTCATCATGCTTAGACCCTTGATAGGGGGGTTTGGCTTCTGTGCTCCCTTAATGGTCTGCTGAATTCAGGTTTATACTGAGGACCTACTAAATTGCCTGTGTTAGAGCATGTGAAGGATATGAAATGGGATCCTTTTTGCTCAGTAGGTTTATGATTTCATTAGGGAGATTAGATACAGATGCATGAAACACTTAGGCACAAGGGAAAGAAGGCACTCAAATGCCAACATGTTGAGGAGATGTAAATGCCTGGAAAGGAAGTGCTGTAAGCCAGGTGAGGACAGAGATGGCACCTCTTCAAGGTGGTATCTTCCAGAATCTTGCACACAGTTGGTACTCAAAATGTGTTTTTCTTGCAGTTGAATAGAGGAGTTTACACTTGAGATGCATTTTGAGGGATCTGAATAAGCTAGGAAGGCATTTAAACTTCCTTTCTAACATTAGTTGGGGAAGGGGCTGACCCATCACCTTTTAAAATGTGAATTGTAGTCCTATTACCTTTCAGGCTGCTCAATTTAAAAGTGTGGTTTAATTCTAGTTTACAGACTGATGAGAAGGAAGGCATCAAATGGACCTTGTAGCAGAATATTGAAAAGGAGACACACCCTTGATCTTAATCACAGCAAAAGGTCCACTTTTAGGAATGCAGAGAGTGGGGTGATATTAGAAGGAATGACTTCTACTGAGGTTGCTTTTTTTTTTTTTAATTTCTAGAATCCCTCCATCTAGGAATAGCCTAGTGAAAAGTGCAAACCATTGTCTTGTAAAAGCCTTGGAAAGTTATCTGTATTTATTAAAATCCTTCAATCAGTGCTATTCAAAGAATGGTCCAGAACTGGTGCCAGTACATAAATTATTTGTTTCTGGTCCAGATGAGGTAAGTAATAGAATTAAAAGTATTTAGAAATTTTTGTAACAATTTGACATTGTGTGACATTCAGCATTTGATGAGTGGGTTTGCTTTTTTATGCTTTTGTTATTTTATTTCCATTTTTCTAGAAAATTAATTTTTTGTATTTTACAAAATTACTTGCCTATAACAAAGGTAAGGCAGGAGGGGGGAAAAAAAAGCTGGTCCTTCATCAGGATGTGTGTGAAAAACATTACCTTAAATGCGCTCCTGAGAGGTAGGCAGATGCTAAGATAACTTCAGTGCTTGCCTTTCCTCCAGTGTAGGCTGAACCTAGTGACTTACTTCCAACAAATAGAATATGGCAAAACTGATGAGCTGTCATTTCCAAGGTTAGGTTATAAAAAGACTCAGTGGCTCTTTCTTGCTTATTGTCTTTGTCTGTTTGGGCTGTTATAACAAAATACCATAGAACTGGGTGGCTTATAAATAGCAGAAATTTATTCAGAGGGATCTGAATGAACCAGGATGAGGAAGGGCATTCTGGGGACTAGAGGTCTAAGGGGCCAGCATAGTTGGGTTTTGGTGAGAGCTTTCTTCTGGTTGCAGACTGCTGACTTCTTGTTGTATCCTCATGTGGTAGAAGGGGCAAGGTAGCTGTCTCAGTGAATTTAATAAGGCTACTAATCCCATTCATGATAGCTCCGCCCTCATGACCTACTAACCTCCTAAAGGCCCCACCTCCTAATAACAGCACCTAGGGAGTGAGGTTTCAACACAAGAGTTTTAGGAGGACACAAACATCGAACCATATAGCAAGTCCCTTCTCTTTCCATCTCTCACTCCCTCCTCTTGGAGAGGGCAGCCATGTTGTGAGCAGCCTTATGGAGAAGTTCACATGGCAAGGCGCTTGTGTCTTCAGTCAATGGCCAGGGAGAACTGAGGCCTGCCAACAGCCCCTTGAGTGAGCTTGAATCAGATTCTTCTCCAGTCGAGATTCTTACCCAGTTTGAGATGATGGTAGCCCTAGCCAAGTCCTTGATCACACCTGGTGAAAACCCCCAAACCAGATGATATATCTAAGTGGCACATGGATTCCTGACCCAGAAATGACTTCGAGATAGTGCTGTTTCAAGTCACTAAGTTTTGGGGTAATTTGTTATGCAGCCACAAAAACTAACACACTCTGTGTCAGAAGTGAATGTCAGACAAATGGAAGTAAAAACAAAAAATGCAATGGCAGTTATGCTGTGTGGCTAATTATATCCAACAGATAATTTGTAACTCTGCTGTAGAGTAACATCACAGTAGTGCATTCTGAGTCTTAGATGCAATATTCTCATTTGTCCCTTTAAATGTAAGATTGTAGCTTGACATAACAGATAGCTACCACTGGGACATAGCCACCATCAGCTGGTGTGAAGCAAACACAAGTGCTTTCTTCCTTGGCAGGTTTGTTTTTGTTTTTGCTTTTGCATCTAAGACTCAGAATGCACTACTGTGAGGTTACTCTATATCCAGTATGAAGCCTCACCTGTGTGGAACCACCACAAACATTCTGAAACACACACAAATAAAATACTTGAAAAACGAAGTACCACATTTGGTTAAATATATGATTTTTTGAATTGGCTGTGTGATAGGAGCAGGTTGATGAAGGACAAGAGAAATGCTAAATATGCATTGTGACCAACAGTGAAAACTTAGGGATAGTAGCTAACATGAATTATATTCTAGTAAGATGAATAGGCTGCTTATCATTAATGAGAACATACACGTTTTTCTAAGTTTCACATCCACCTGTGATGAATGTGCTAATGGGGATAAAATACATTTTCATAACACTTGTATTAACAGCACACTAATAGACTGACATATGCCATGGCAAGTTTTTGTAAGTATCTATCCAAAATCAGCAAAAAAAGAACTTGGGCATCCTAATTGTAGAAAGTTTCTGCTACTAGGAAATTTAAATTTGTAGTGGAAATTCCAGGATGTGGCAACTAGCTTATTGAAAGTCCAAGACATAAATTAAGATATAAGTTATATTATCTAGGAGGAAGAATTCAGCATAGCTAGTTTCAAAACAAGCAGAGCCCCTAGAACTTAAATGACACTGCAGTTGTTGAAACGTTCTGTCAAAGCCTTCTGCAAAATAGGTTTATGAATGCCTAATTTGTTGTCTGGTACCATTCTTGCTGATGATGCATCAGCCCACACTTAATGAAGAGGAAGAGTTTATCCATTTTCTCTTGTTAGTGTATAATCTTCTGAGTTTGACTGTAAAGTTGTTTGGATATTGTGATGTTGGTGATCAACATCTACACAGAGTGTTCACAATAGAAGCCACAAAGTACTAAGCCCTACTAAGTGCTGGGCCCTTTTTGTTCTTCACTGCAACTCTATGAAGTAGATATTACCCCCATTTTATATTGTCTAGATAAGGGCACTGATGCTCAGGGACATGACACCCTGTGCCCAGGGACATACCCTTGGTAAATGGCAGAGACAGAATTCAGACTTACAACCTCTCCACTTTTCATTGCAGTCCACACCTCCTCCATGTTGTTTT